CTTTGAGGGCAAGGATGGAGAAAATCTTCTGCTCTGGGTGGGAGAGGCCGAGATGGCTATAGCTGTCGCCATGCTTCTGACCGAGCACCAGCGCATGGTGCTAGCTATCTTCAAACTCGGTGGTCGAGCGCGAGAATGGACCCTGATGTGCGGTACCTCGGTAGAAGCGGCGTTTCCCTCCTGGACGGAGCTGAAGGTACAGCTTTCACGAGTATTCTTGCCGCCTAACCAGGCATATCGCCTGCGATCGGGTTTCCTTACCGTCTGATAGGGCAAGAAGTAATCTGTGGACTATGTCCAAGAGCTTCATACTCTCATTGTCGGGTTAGCAGCCGATACTCTCCCTGAGGCTTTCACAGTGACCGTCTATATGGAGGGTCTCCGCACTGGCGTGGCCAGATTGGAAGTCTTCTGTGTGAAGAAACATTGAATGTGGCATTGAAGTCGACACGACTGGGTTAGAATGCGCACCCTAGCAGCTCGTCGAGCGGGTCTGAACCAATGGATCTCAGCTATGCTCAGAAAAAGGAGGGAGAGCTTCGAGTTACCGGGCAGCGTTCGAACAAACATACGGTGTTTTGTCGGTGGAGACACCCGTCACCTTCGGAATAGTTGTCCCTTGCGTAAGGTGCGTAGAGGTTCATCGAGTCAACGTTCTGCTTCTCACTAGTCTGGTTTGTCGCGGAGAAACGAGAAAACCCAGTAGGCACGGGGTGGCCTATGAGGGAAGAAATGAGTTGTGTTTAGTCTCAAATAGTCAGAGGTCAGCTGGACCCAGCCCCGAAGAGCTCCGTGCTTTTGAACCCGAAAATGTATGCAAGCCGGGCTCGCTGGTCGTGAAAGCGAATTGAAGGGCTTTGAGAAGCCATGAAAGATCCTAATTAACTCCGGGGCGTCGGGCAATCATACTCGACGCTCCACGATGGAAGAAATTAGCTGTAAGCTGAGGAGTCGAAGGCGCGGTTAAGTGGTATCATCGTTCACTTAGCGACGGGGACATGCGTCACGGTGGTGTACAAAATCTCTGTGAACCTCGGTGTCAAGTTTCTTATCTTCGATCTCGTGGAACGCTGCTTAGCCTTAGACTTGGATTCAAGGTATGGATGGTTGGAACACCATGAGCCATGGGCCGATTGAAGTTCGAAGACCTTGGGCGCTACCCGCACGTCTCTTGGTGGAGTTTTTTGGTAAGTTTAAAACCTGCTCTGGTAGGAGCCAAAAACGCGATTGTCGGGGGTACTGGACCAGTGGTTATCGCAGTCGTGAGAGGACCTACAGCTCTGTGAGTTGCCACTATTGGTTGCTCAAGCTGTACAAATGGACGAGCACAGCTGTACGCACGTGTGAGACGTGTCAAAGGGTGAACCCTCTTCGAGTGCAGCGGCACCGCTGACCAGTTTACCAGGACCCCCTGGGTGTTGGCATTCCATAAGTATGGACTTTGTGTTTGGTCTGCCGAAGGATTCGGCGGGCAACAAGGGTGTCGTGGTCTTCGTCGACCGTTTGAACAAGATGGCTCCTCTTGCGACGGTGCCGGACACCATCGACGGTGTCGCGGCAGTGACGCTATTAGTCGATCGTGTCTATCGACAATATGGACTCCCGGGTCAATTGCTTCTGACAAAGACCCACGCTTTGCTGGGAAGCCTTAAGCGACGATCTTCAAGATGCTGGGCACCATGTTGACTATGTCAACAGCGGATCATCCGCGGACCGATGATCAAACTGGGCGCGTTAATCGCGTTGCTGAAGACATCCATTGCAGCGTCTACGCTGAGACGCCACGTGCAATGCCACCACTCGTGGAGTTCGTTTTGACCTATGCGATGCATTCGTCTACCGGCTACACGCCGTTCGACGTGAACAAGATCGTTCATCCTCGCAGCACGCTGACGACGCCATCCTATGGCTAAGTGCTTGGCGGGGGAGGAATAGCGGAGTGGCTAACTGATGTCAGCCTCCTCACTGTTCTTCAAGAAGTCGATGACTATCTGTCTACCAGACTAAGTATCTTACAACACGTCCGCGATGCGATGGCTAAGAGCCAAGACATGCATAAATATGCAGACATAAGAAGCAAAAGAAACGCTGAAAACTTTGACGTCGGAGGCCTGGTTTTAATAAATGCTAAGAACCTTCCTACCCAAGCAGTTTCACTGTCTTGAAGACGAAGCTCCGTCCACGATTTATCAGACCTTGTTAGGTCGTTGCCAAGCGGGGCCTTGCGTGTATACTAAAAATTCCGAAATGGAAGCGCACCCACCCGGTGTTCTATGTGGGCCGTACCGAGATCCGACGCAAGTGAACGCGGAGGCGTTGGCGCCAGGGCGGCGGCCACTGGCGCCCGACCACCCAGAAGCTGAAACAGCAATTGGCCTCGAGCACGAAATAGATGATCTCCATCCCCGACGGTGCCAGGCGCTCCACCGTCACATGGAGTGACGCCTTCGTCTGTTCAACGGCTAGGGGCAGTTCCGACAGAGCGCTATTATCCTCGATGTAAGGCAACATACTCAAGCTCTCTAGGTTTCTGCGCAGCGGTATGTGATCCCAGCATGACGCTTAGAGGGGTTCCGATGGCGACGGACCTTGTCCTTAAGAGCTCGAAGAGCATCGCGCGTCGCCGGACGGCGATCGATGAGAATGAAGGTGTCTACCGTCACGTGGAATGTCTTGTGGGTCGACGTCGTCGCCAGGGTCAAACCCAGTAGCGTGTGAAGTGACGGGGATACCCAGACTACGAGAACTCGTAAGAAAGTGAGGTGCCACTGCGGCAAGACTGCCCAGACTTCGTGGACGCTTATGATCATTGGAATCGTGACGTTCCATGTCGTCGTACACCCCGCGCTTCTCGGTAATAGCTAGGAAAGCCGAAGGGCCATGAGCTGAGCTCAAGTTATGGCCCTGAGCTGCTGTGGTCGCAGGCTCACCTGTGTAAGAGACCACAGAGCTCGCGGGAGCGTGATGGATTAATTCACACGTCGCAGGGCGACAATACGAAGGAAGTCAACGTTGCTCCTTGAGCTTGGCAAGCTCGAAGCGAAGATGGCGCTCCACGTGCACGTCCACCTCTTGTGGATTCGCTGTAAGCTGGACAGCAAGAAACGTTTCCGGCGCCGCCGTACCCATCGCTCAAAGAGCTCTTCGTCGTCTGCAGCGGTTTCTCTAGGGGCAAGCATCACGGGAACCGCCCACATCGCGGGGGTAGGAGCGCCTCCTATTCGAAGTTGAGTGCGGTACGTATCCACTGGATTTCTTGAGGAACCAAGAAGCGAGCTTGGAGAGCCCTTCGTTTGTCAAGCTCAGCTTGTGTAGTGACCGGGGGGCCGATCACGTAGACGCCCAACGATCGGATGATCGCATCGTCCGCTTCGGTAGCGGGATCCGCCGAGCAGGACCGTATTCCACACGAGGGTCAAGGACCGACCGTGGATGCGCGCGCATGAGAGCCGCCCTGCGGACAGCATACAGCAGCTGCTTCTTTGCCTCGTCGAGTTTTTTTGTACCGACACCACTCCCCCCTAAAGTCTAGAGTACGGGAAACGGACACGGCGTCCGCAAGGTTTGAGCAGAGCTCTCGTCGTGCCGCTGGGGCACCTCGCCCTCTCCTTTCTCCCATCCTGGGAAGAAAGTATCCGACTCGTAGTTGAATTTCTCCAAATCCTCGACGAGATAACCCATCGCCCGTGGCGGGCGTGTTGCGCGGTCGGAAGTAGACATCGCGTCTGTGTTCTTGGTCGTGCGAACCTATCAATGACAATGTGCTGCGCGGTATTCGGATGCTGGGAGCTTGAGTTGCGCTCCCCTTAAAGCCGCG